AGATTCACGATCTGATAGTGAGAAGCTGTCAAGTCTTTTAGATAGATCGTTGTCTTGCATTGGATATGTAGGGCTCGCCATCTCGTTGATTACAATCCTTGAAACCCTAGATTTAATGGTACCAAAACATAAAAGGAATACTTGCAGGAATCTGAGGGGTATGATATAGATTTACTTGGGGGAAAGATTAATCGAAGGAAAATCAATCGGAGAAGAGAAGATGGATGAAACTAGATCGCTCCCAAACGAGAGAATTCATCGCTCCCAAACGAGAGAATTCATATTCATCTACCCCTAACATACTAATTAATATAATTATATTTATCTAACCGGAATTTTCAAAATATAATTAATATAATATTTTAACTAATTAATCTTTTGTCTAATCGACTTTATCTCATTGACAAACTGGCCAAAATATTTTAAATTAGAATAGTAAGCTTATTCTTACGGGTATACTTAGCAGAATATTAAAACTTTCAAAGCTTTTTGAGAAAATTTGAGTAATTCCGCCTTTTATTCTATTTTAAGTTCAAAATTATATTTTTAAATATATTCATAAACATTATTATTTATTTTTTTATTATGTGATATAATCTAAATTTGGTTATTATATTTTTAATTCAAACATTTAAAGCAAAAGATCACAAACAGATTTTTTGGTTACATTTTATTTTATCTTAACTTCCGTATAATCACATTCCTAATAAACTAATTAGTATAATATTTTTTATCCACGGTATATAATTGGATTTCTTAAAATATAATTAATATAATATTTTAACTAATTAATCATTTGTATAACTTGATTTATCTCATTAACAAAATTGTCAATTTTTTTCTTAAATTAATAAAATTTTGGATGATTTTGATTTGTAAAAAAATAAAAATTAGCTTTACTTTAAAGTCTGGATTCTTTCCACTATTTTTTGTACACTAACAATCATATATTGGATAATTGATTTAAAAAAATTAAAACCGTAAGGTTAAATAATATTCCTTAAATAAAAATATTGTATCAAGAGAAGTGCTTAATAATATATATTTTTCATTGTTTGTATTTATTTTAATAATATATGGAGGCCTGTGAGGAGGTAGTTAAACAGGCCTGGTTGACAGAAGTTCATGGCACTCTTTTCTTCAAGCTAAAAGAAAAAGTCAAACTCACCAGGATTGCCCTTCTGAAGTGGAGTTCCAGTTTTCAATCTCAAAGACAGGAATCAATAGCAGCTCTTAATCTTAAACTTGAAACTCTGAATGTGAACAAAGCTAACATAGATTGGGAAGAATGGGAGACTACTAGAAGAAGCTTAAATGCAGCTCATAAACAAGAGGAGCTTTTTTGGCAGCAGAAAGCAAAGTCCAAGTGGTTTAAGGATGGAGATGCTAATACACATTTTTTTCATGCTCTAACTCTACAAAGAAGGAGGAATAATGCCATAACCAGACTGATATCTCCTCAAGGCACTATTTTATCCCATCAGAAGGACATTGAGAAGCACATTGCAGATTTCTATAACAATCTATTTACCACTAAAGGTTGTTGGGGTGGGGATACTATTCTACCTCTTATTCCTTCTACAATTACTGTGGAAATGAATCAAGCTTTGCTAAAGCCAGTGGAAGAAGAAGAGGTTAAGCTTTTTTTGTTCAGCTTCCATTCTGATAAGTCACCTGGGGAGGATGGAATGACTGCTGCTTTTTATCAGCACTTCTGGAGCATAATTAAAGAAGATCTTATGGCTGTAGTTCTAAGCTTCTTTCAGACAGGTATGCTGCTCAAGTATTGGAACCATTCTGTGATCTCCTTAATTCCTAAGATTCAAAATCCTGAAACTTTGGGGCATTTCAGGCCCATATACTTGTGCAGTGTTGTTTACAAACTAATTTCTAAAATTTTGGCTCAAAGACTTAAAGTTTGTCTCACACATTGCATAAGTGATTTTGAAGCAGCTTTTGTGGAAGGTAGGCAATTGGTTGATAATGTGATCATAGCCCAAGAAGCTTTTCACTTCTTAAACAGATATGTATCTGGTCCAAATGACTTCATGGCACTAAAATTGGATCTTATTAAGGCTTTTGATCGGGTTGAATGGATCTGTCTGAAAAAAATCATGCTGCAAATGGGATTTCACATGGACTTTGTTAAGTTAATTATGATCCGTGTCTCATCAACCTCCTACTCTTTTAAAATTAATGGTTCTCTTAGTGGTTATGTGACTCCTTCAAGAGGCATATTGTGGCTGAGCTTTTGTCTGCTTTGGTTGTGCACTCTGTCAATATTGTGGCTGAGCATTAGGCAAGGGTTGAAGGTTTCCAGAAATGGCCCTTTGCTATTTCACCTTTTGTTTGCAGATGATCTCTGCTTGAGCAATACAAATTATTTACTGGACAAGCAATTAACTTACAAAACTCTGCCATCTTCTTCAGCAAGAACACTCCACAGCACACTCAAACTTCAATATGCTCTCTGATGAATGGAATATCTTCACACAGATCCACAAGGTACCTTGGGTTGCTTTTGGGAATTGGTAGATCAAAAAGGGAAGTGTTTGATTATCTTCTAGATTCAGTCAGAATTAAGCTCACCAGCTGGAAAGCAAAATTTCTTAGCAATGCTGGGAAAGATGTGTTGTTGAAGTATGTTATTCAAGCTCTTCTTATTTTTACTATGTCTTGCTTTAAATTGACAATTTCTCTGTGCTCTGAAATCTCAAAGCTTTGTGCTCAGTTTTGGTGGAAAACAGGCACTGACCAAACTCAAGGTATTCATTGGAAAAAATGGAGCAGTTTATCTCTACCAAAGTTGCAAGGGGGGCTTGGCTTTCTGGATTTGCAACTGTTCAACAAGGCATTAATTTGCAAGCAGCTATGCAGGGTGGCTTCTAATCCTGATCTTTTGGTTAGCAGACTTCTAAAGGACAGATACTTCCCCAACTCCTCTATTGTTCATGCTAAAAAAACTCAAGGGGGATCTTGGATGTGGAACAGTTGGGTTGATGTTCTTCCAATTTTCTCTAAGTGTATGAGGATTGAGGTGAAAAATGGGCTTAATACAAAAATTGAAGACTTTAATTGGGTACATAAGCTCAGTAAACCTGCTCCAACGTTAATTCCCATTGCTAGAGATCATTTGATTTGGGTAAAGGATTTGTTGGTGGATGGTAGTAATCTGTGGAATGAGTGGCTTGTTAAACAGGTTTTTGATGCAACAGATAGCAAAGCTATTCTGGATATATCTTCTCTTCATGTGGACAGAAATGACAGGATGTACTGGTGGTTGGAGAAAAAGGGGAACTTCTCTGTGTCAAGTACATATAAATATTTGTCCAATCTCAAACTCTTGCAAGCTGATATTCCAGAGAGCAATAATGCTTCTTCTGTTAAGCAGGAAGTTAAATTCAGATACTGGAAGCTTAAAATTGCTGGCAAGATTAAGTTCTTTCTGTAGAAATGCTTAACTGATACTCTTCCTGTGGCTGTGCAATTAATCAAAAGGGGAGTGGATCTGGATACAGTGTGTGCTGTTTGTGGAGGGAATCAGGAAACTATTGAGCATATCTTCTTTGACTGTCCAAGAGCAAAGAGGTGTTGGGAAGTTAGCCCTGTCCAGTGGGATGGACTTTACAACAGGACAAGAAACTTTTCTGACAGGTAGTTCCATGTTTGTTCTTTCAAGAAGTCTGAAGTGGCCGAAGCTCGCATTCAACTCACTACATACCTGCTTTGGTGGCTTTGGAAGTTCAGAAATCTCTGGATCTTCCAAAAGTCTTAGATTCCAGAACATGTGATTGTGAAGCTAGCTCTCTCGGACTGGTTGAATTTTGCTATGCAGCTGCTAGTTCTTAAGTTTTGTTCTCTCTTTTTTTCTCTTTCCTTAGTTTTTTAGTGTTGATTGAAGGAGTCTTTCCCGGCTAGGCTTTATAGCAGTGGTTGGGTTGGTTTTCTTAGTTTATGTTGGTTTGCTAGTTTGTTCATTTGACCTCTTTGAAGGTTGTTTCTGTTAGTTGAGGTTCTAGACCACTTCGAGTGTGTCTCTCAGTTTTTATTTCCAGTTTTTTTGTTTTGTGTAATCGAACGGTGTTCGCCGCTATTTTAATATAGTTATCTCTGTCGTTTTGGGGAAAAAAAAGGTATTTATTTTATTTCCATAATGAGATGAGATGTGAAAAATATAAAGAATTATATTTAAAATAAAATCTAAAAAAAGTTTAATATATGAGTTCTTCCGCACATCGCACGGGATATACACTAGTATTCACTTATTCAATCTAGCTCGTTATGGTGTTTGCTTTGTTTTTTTGAAAAACTTGATAACAAGTTCAATCAGCTGTTTTGTTTTAAATTGTTTATACATAATAAACATTTTTTCGGTTTATACCCTTTCAACTATCCCTTTCACCCTTTATGCTTTGTCCACCTCATCCACCTGACATCCAACTCCCAAGCAGTCCACGGCACAAACCTTCTCTCATCTTCTATGTAATCTATTAATATATAAAGAGGGAATGATATTTGTTTGAAAAAATCAACTAAAACATCAGAAAAAAAAGATTTCAATTCCCGCCTAAATAAATACTATAATGAGCAAGATTTTTGGTAAAAAATTGAATATCCCCGCCAGTAATCAATTTGAAATTTTTGGTCATATTTGGTCAGATTTTTTTGCTAAATATTTGTAGATATCTTAATAAAAAAAACTGAAGATTTCCATGTCTTCGTTCTTTTCTTATCTTTTCTGTATCCCCTCCACTTTTTCTTCTCTATCTTTTCTTCTTCCCTTGCATACCAAAATTACCAAATTCTTCATCTTCCTTCCTAATTTCTTCATCTCCTTCATTTCTCTCCCTCGCGAACGCCCAATGCAAAAATCCCAATTTCTGTGAAGACGAGGTCGTAGTCCCTGCCCGAGATCGATAACTATCGCTGGCAGCACGGGACGACAACGTGACTGAGATAGGCGGACAACACATAATTAGTGGAAAAAGGCCAGAGTGAGGATGAGGCCCGTGTCGGAGATCGGCAGACGACTAACAACGGCTGATAAAGGATCGTCGGCAGAAAGCAGTGCGGCTGCGGAGCGGCACTTTACGTTGGAGCTTTGTTGCTGTAGAGTCGGTGAAACCCCACAGCTCCAACGATTGTGATTCAAGTGATGGCGAATTGGAGTTGTGAGTGGCTGTCGGGGCACCGTGAGCTTGGATGGGGTGGATGGAGACTGAGAAGCACAACGAAGGGTCCATCGCCTCGGCATTTTTAGCTTTTGGGATAATGTTTTATTACTATATTTAGTGCCTTTTATTTCGTTAGAATAATAATAATTTTACTTTGTGGTGGAGCTGCTGAGGTTGGCGCTGCTGAGCTGTGTTGGTATATGTTCGGAGTGGCGGTGGTATGATATTGTGATGGTGCTGGGGTACCTGCCGAAAGCTGGCGATGGAAGCCACCGGGATTGTGATACACCCGACAAGCCTAATGTGTATTATGCTAATGACCCTGGCAGAATTTATCTCCGCCCGGGTAAGCTTCTTGGCTTTCAGTTAGTTGTGTGTGCAGTTTTAGCTTAATTAGAAGAATAAAAGCCAATTAGTCTTTTTTTATTATTATTATTTATAAAATTAGTGATGTTGGAAATTTTGTCTACTCTTATGTGCTTTTGATATTATTGAACGGTGGACTGTGAAAGGTGATGTTCTATATTGGAGTGCATGGCTATGTTTACATGCAAATTGCATCTTGTGGAAGTTGAACTAGGCAAAATGCTCTCTCAAATCAATTACTATTTATCCAATAAAATCATGTGCAGGATTTACTGTGGAAAGCTAGCCTTTGAGTAGCACTAGTATATGAATGTGTAAACTGCTTAAAGTTCTGATTTTGATGCTCACTGTGCTCTCCGTTATTGTTTTCAATTATTCTTTGAAAGAATTAATTACATGGCTCTAGAAAAAAATGTGGAATGAACTTGTGAATTTTAAAATTAACTACCTGCTCATCTGTCTACTGGGGATATTTTCTAAGTTGATACTATATTCCTGATCCATGTTATTGCATATGTCAGTTTCATTTACTTTTTGTTTTTCCAGAAGTTAATTTCATAAGGTTGAATAGGGTTTAATTAGATCTGCAGGCTTGGGCACTACGTATCGTCTGCGTGTTCAAATAAGTAAAAGGTGTATTGAAGTTTTTAGGGAACTTTTATACGATAACCAAGCTAAAGACAAATTTTGTGCGCTCTTTCAGTTTTAAACCGATAGTATCATGTATTTGATGAAAAACTTTATTGCAAGTTATTATCTTTGTGAAGCCATGTTTTTTTGCCTTCATAGGAAGTTGAGTATGTTCAGTGTGTATGTGTTCCATGAAATTGTAACTGCTGTATTTGCTCACAAAAAATTCAGGGTTGTTACATGATAGAGAATGGCTTCTCAAGAGCTTCAGTGGAGAAGTTTTGACTCTGAAAAAGGTGAATTTAATTTTCATGAGAAATATGTTGCGTTTTTATTGTTTGATTATGTGGTCATGTCTTTTGTTTATGTGGCTGTTCATAGCATCTTGTAAGCTTTCTCTAGGACGAAAAGCTAATTTATCATTTCAGTCCTCATAGATTATATTTATCACATCCTAAGTGCTAATTGACAACTTTCTTATTAAGTTGTATACATATTTGTCTAAATTTTTCTACTTTTTTCCATAATAAAGATCAAATAAGTGTTTGTTATTTAGGATTGTAAAATATTTGTCGATGGTTTGATACGTTGAAAAAGCTGATTTTTGCTGGCATCTGAGTGCTACTTATTTTTGTTCTAATTATTTCCTTTCCCTTTGATTTTTCCAAATCTTAGGTTCCAGAACTAGGTTTTATTACTACTATGGTTGATCTCAAAACGGGACTACTCATAGCTGAGTCACCACGCTACAAAGAGAAACTGCACGTTGAACACAAATCAGATCAATCTATTAAGGGCAGAGAAGTTATGGAAGTATATTCTCAGGTACTTGGACCAGCAGTGGTGATTGTGGGGTAGAGAAAAGCCTCTGCCGAAGTTGGTATCAACTCCATTGATTTTCAAGGAAATTCGCAGTGTTGTTGTTCCCGCTCTATAAACGGTTTGGCCTTTAAATCTTTGGGTGATCTTCTCTTTTGATTATATGTTCTGCTGCTGTTTCCCTCTAAACGGTTTGGCCTTTAAATCTTTTGGTGATCTTCTCTTTTGATTATATGTTCCATGTTCCTTTCAGGTGTTTTTTTAATTCTTATTCGCGCAGGCTTTCGAGAATCTGAGGTGCTCAAGAGAGGGTTTGTTTTCGTCGGATGCTAGCACGAGACTTGAGATTTTTGGTCAAAACAAACCTTAGGAGAAGGGAAAGAATGAATTTTGTTAACTGATCAACTCCAAGATGGGAGGAGAGGCACTGGATAGAGGCGACATCAGGGAGCAGCTGATCCCGCTCCCAAAATGATTTGGCCTTTAAACCTTTGGGTGGTTTTTTCTTTTTAGTTTTAAAAAATTGATTATATGTTTTGTGTTTTTTCAGTTTTAAATAGAATAGTCAATTATTTATAGTTTAATAAATTACTCAGCTACTTAAAGTTTTTTATTTGGATATTTTATACAAAAATAAATTTATTTTAATTAATGAAATATTATAATTTTTAAATTTATACTTATTATTCACATAGGTTTTTAAATATATGATTAAATTTTACCAAACTAACTATTCTATAGAATCACATTATAGTCGAATCGAATTTCTGTATTAAAATGTTGAAATGACACTTATTTTGAAACGAATATAATGTAATTTATTATCAGTTATGTCCACCGCACGGGTTGTGTACTAATTTTAAATAGACATTTTTATGTAATATTGCAATTTAAATTCTATATAACATTTTCAATAAATTAATATAGGTAAATTGTATTACATATTGATTTCATATTTTTAATTTATAAATATTAGTTCATGAGAATTTTTAACTTATAAATATTAACGAATATCTCTTACCCGTGCATCGCACCCTGTGTATCGCACGAGATTCATACTAGTTTTATATTATTTAAGAAATCATTTTCTTTAATCATCATCTAAAATATCAATTTTATGAGGTTTTCATGTAATTCCTGGTGAACTTGTCGCAATAAATAAATAAATATTCACGACTCCAAATTGATTGAGTATGTAATATTGTCCAAGAGCCAAGATTTGGTGGTTCTTTTTGGTTACATAAATACTTATTATACTAATATTTGTCGTTGTAGCATTTTGAACCCGATTTGAAAACTGGAACTAAACATATTTACGGTTCCTAAAAATTTATTTGAGAAAAAATACGGGAAATTTTTATGTCTCCTGCAGGAAATAGAAATATTATAATTATATTATTGATAATTAAATAATTATAAATCTACCTAAATAAGGATTCTTTATTGCATATAAACCTAAAAGCAGTTACATAACCCCCGCGTCCCTCAATCCCCCAATTCCCGCATGATATCCAATAAAAAAAATAAAAAAATTGCTTGATGTATATGGAATGAAAATCAGATATTAAAGAATTTCTGCCTCACTTTTATGCTAGAATGTGATTTTACACACGCACGCACAAAATCTTTTGTCTAAATATTGAATATATATTTAATATATATACATAAAATAAACCTTAAAAAATGTTTGGTATATGCATTGTATGTATTTTCCATGATTTTACTAAATATAAACCATACATATATCGAAAATATACTGAATATAAACCATATATATATATATATATAAATCAGTTTATGTTTGTTTTAAATCAATTTTTGAATGTTTTTTAGTATATGTTGAGTTTACGTATTGTTTATTTTACTTTTATGCTTTGTAAACAGTTTTGCTAAAAAATAAACCACACATATACACAACAATAAAACCTTATTTATCTATATTAATGTCTAAATTAACTCAAGCAGTTGTGCAGGTGGGTATATATTGCGTTTATGTTAGTATATGTTGCAATAAAAAACATGTCTTCCATAAAAGATTATGTACATATACTATACATATACTGATCATAAAATAATAGAGAGATAAAAATATCTATTATATATTTAGTATATACTGCTTATATATACAACATATACTGAACATATACTCCCTATAAACCAAATACGCCCAAATCAATAAAACCCATATTTACGCCTCTCATCTCAAATCTTCATTTTCCTTCTCCAAAGATTCTCGAGCAGCAGAGCGGAGAAAATTTTTTTAGCAGCTTTCTTCTTCGCGTGCGTCCTTCGCCATCAATCGTCTTCATCCTTCTCCACTCACGCGCAACTCCTCTCAACAGGTAGCAAATCCCGTCCCTCATCTTCCTCCATCGACGAGAGAGCAACAGTCGACCGAGTAGCAGGTTCCGTCCGCCATCGCACCTGAGGTCATGTCACATTCCGTCGGCGAACTAGCAATCCACGCCGGGATTCGAGCTGTGCCGGAGATCCCCCGCCTGCTGTCGTACGCCTGTCGAGAAGGAGCCATGGCGAGCAGCGAGTTCCGTCGATCCTCCTCAGCCGCTCGACTTTGTCCAGTGAGTAGCAATCATGTCAGATCGGACCTTCGCCGTCGCGCCTGTTACGGTCACCGGCCTCCGGCGACAAGCCAGCAAAAGATCCGAAAATGGCTCCTCCTCCTCCGAACAGATCTGAAAAATCGAAGAGGGTTTTTTTGCAGAGGTGAGTGAACATGGGCGGTGGGATGGTTTTGGAGAGAGAGAGATGATAACAGAGAGAGAGAGAGAGAGAGAGAGAGAGAGAGAGAGTTCTGCTTTTTTGGTAATAATATATTTGATTTCAATTAATTATCCAATTGCATTTAATTTTCCCCGTTATTAACATTCAGAATCTTAGGTATAAGTGTAAATATTTTAGGCTTGTTTTGTAAGTTTATAAATAAGATTATAATTAGTGTATAAGTGTAATATATATCATAACTGATAGTAAGGGATATAAATTCCTCAAAAAATACAGGGTAAACAAGTATCAAAGAAATTGATGGATCTCTACAATTTTGGAGATGTTACTCGCAACTTCATTTAAATGCAGCCTCATCTGTAATGCTCGATACAATGGTTTTATGTTGCTAAAAATAAAGATTTTTATTGTTACTTCATTTACATGCAGTTCTCATCTGTAAGGCTTGAGACAATTATTTTTTGTTGCTAAAAAATGAAGATTTTTATTGATAAAATGTAGATGTTGTAATAAAAATAGAGAAAATTACTCCATCTACTATTCCTTTTAAAATTATTTTTAAATATACGATAACACAAACTTATCTTCTATCTACCTTTTTCTTAATTAAACATAAATATGATGTGGCCTGCAGTTTTCCAACAGTTTTTAATTAGGAAAATACAACTGCACAAGACACATTTAATAAGTTTACGATTGAACATGATTTTCGGGATCGTGCTCATCACATTACTTGCCATACTCAATCGATAAAGAAGAAAAAGTGATTTCTTTCTCTCACCAAATCATAGGCAATTGTGTATCTTCACCACCACCGAGAAAGGAAACCAAAACATCACCAATTTAAATCTCTTTTCCATAATCTCTACCAAAAGCCTTCTCCAAGTTTCAGGGCAACGACGGTTTGTGCGGGCTTCCACTTATTCGATGTGGGAAATCAAGAGGGCACGCGAGGAAGTACCTATCGAGGTCGGAAGTCGCCAGGATCGTGGTACCGATCGTCTTCACGTCAACCTTCATTTGCTTATTCTTGGTGTACCTGATGCTCAGAATATGGTGAAATTGGAGGAAGGTGGAGGTTTCTTGCTATGGAAATGGCGCTGTGAAGAAAAACGGAGAAGATGGAGGTTACCCGGCCTCACCGGTGCACGACCAGTGTTTTTCTTTCAACACGCACCAAAATTCCAGTCTTGAACACGCACCAGAGTTTTGATCGGGAGATTTTTTATTTAAAGTTTATATGACGTTTATAAAACATGAAGTAGTGCAAAAATATACACAAATTATATGCTAGTTATACATAATCTATATTGTGTTTTTTTTTGGAATACGCAAAGTTGTTGGTTGAACTTTGTAAATGTCATGTAAAGTAGACATATGTTGTTTATCTTATGTATAACTACATTGAATTTAGACTTTGCATCCATTCAAAATTGTGTATTATGTTTTATCCCGTTTTTATATTGTTTATCTTATGTATAACTATATTGGATTTAGATTTTGCAGTCATTCAGAATTGTGTANGTTTTCCACAATAAACAAGATTAAAAAGTTATGAACAGAAGAGATTTCATGAACACCAATTTTTTTTTCAGCTCGTTCAATTTTTTTCTAAGCTAGATCGATGATTTTTTTCTCTGACGCCGATGTACTGTAAATCTGTTTGTATTTTTTAATTTGTGCAACCCAGATTTGTAGCTATCCTATTTGGAGTGATTTATTTCTTTTTTTTTTTGAACTTCTGTTTTCATTGAGTCGTTTTCACGGGCATATTAATGACATGATTTTATATTGGTGAGAGAAACAGATTTCTTGGAAAGACAAACAACGGATTTTGGAGAGAGAAACGGATTTGTAGCTATCATTAATGGCATGATTTTTATTAATGGCATTAATTTTATTTTGGAGAGAGAAATAGATTTCTTGGAAAGAGAAGCAACAGTTGGAGAGAGAAACGGATTTGTAGCTATCATCATAATAGTGAAAATAAGATCTTCATCAAATCCCTTCTTGATAAATGTTTCTATTGATTGTATATGTAAAAATAACTCCTATATGGGGTGTAGGTATGTAAATTTCCCATAAAAATAAGTGAAAAGATTTGTATTTATGAGAGGTAAAATTTAAATTAACAACAAAGAAATAAATAGGTTATATAGTATCACATGAAGGTGGGATATGAATAGTAGCATATTTGAAGGGGTAATGAGTACTTACAGTCTCATGATAGGGCCTGTTTACTAAGTTGGAGTGGTCTGGACGATTGCCGCAATAAAGGTAAGGAAAATTTTTATCTCTCCTACACGATTTACAAGTAATTTCATAGATATTGACTATGAAAAAGATTTTGCATTACTACCTACAATTTAGCAAATAAATAGGATTATGCCTAAAAATAGGTTAAAAAAAATGCATGAATCTTTAATTTTTTTAACTGCCTCCATTAGAATTAAAAAAAAAAAAGAAAAACATATGATATAGATATAAAATAAAAATCAAAGACTCAAAATAAGATATATAACAATTTGTCTTTCTCTGACTCTCTCTATTTCTTCTCGACGAAAAACTATCTAATTATCATATTTTTCTCTTTCCCTTGTCATCTCCCATGGAATTTTTAACGGTGCCGGGCAGAGAAGCGGCCGAAGAGGCGGCGATGCCGTGGTCTACGACTGCTCCCTAAAGATCGACGCCAGGGCCCGAGAAATCAACGGGCTTACCGCCAATCATAGCCGCGTCTGGCCGTAATCGATGATTTTCGGGCTGAGCGCAAGGGCGGATAGGAAATATGCGGGGAATTAAGAGAGAGATCTCTACAACCAAGTCCGAGATGCGACGGGTGTCGAAGCTCAGGTCCAATATCGGGGCGGCGCAAAGGGGGATCCAGTGAAGAAGATGGACATGGTCGGTCACCACCCGAACCTGGATAGGATCGGTTGAGATAATCTCCAATCTGCCTGAACCGCCACGCATGTACCTGCAAAACTCAATGCCGGAGGGGTTTCCAGCGAAGAGCCTCTGATGCCTAAGTCAGTCTCAGGAAGAGGATGATGGTGCTCTGTTAAAAAAGGTAGTATATAATGTATAGAGAATGTAAAGTTGGGGTTTGGTGCCACCTCAGTCCCTTTTTATGAAAATACCTGCCTGAAATGTTCTGCCCGACTTCCCGGATTCCATGCTTATCCACATCCTAATCATCTCTTATTTAGATCCTAGTCACTTTTAGATTCCTTCTTATCCTTTTATGATTCCTGCTTATGCTCTATAATCCTTTATCCTCAGATTGTGATCCCTTTTGAGGATACCTGCTTCAGTCTACCTCGAGCTGTGAGATAAGTCCAATCTTTAATTGATGGAGGCTGATTTAGGGTATGTTTAGGTGATCGAATCACCAGATAACTTTCTTTGAGGATTGGGTCGTCATTAGGCTTTTCAGGTTGTTGTTGTGGTTCTTAGGTTGGTGTATGTCGACCTCGAGCTGCTTCCTTAAGTCGACCTACATTAGGTCGACTTATACTCCAGTCTAACTCCCTTCACTTAGACCGATTTAAGAAAGTATAGTTATATCAATGGTCATGGCCTCGGTTTCGGGTCTTAATCTGGGTCTCCGATTCGATTTGATCAGTTTAAATCATTTTTTGAATTAATATTTATCTAAAGTTTGTTAATATTTTATGTTTGGTATAAGATCAGTTTATGTATTGTCTAGTTTAGGTATATGTAATATTTTATGTTTGGTATAAGATCTGTTTATGTATTGTTTAGTTTAGGTATATGTTTCATGTACATAATCTGCAAATTTTTAGTGTTTTTTAAGTGCAACTTTTACTGGATAATTTAATCATGAAATGAAAAATAATTTGTATTGTTTGTTATTTTTCTGGTGTTGTCTGGTTCTTAATGTATTGTATATTTTAAGTTTGATATGTGATCAGTATTGCTATAATCAGTTAAATAGTTTATGTTTGATATATAATCAGTTTATGTATTGTTATCAATGTTTCGAAGCATATATCCCCGTACCGAATTACTAAATAAAACTTTTAAAACGCAACATATACTAAAAATATACTGTCTGTAAACGTAGGGGATGAACTAATGGTTAAAGTCCGATCTGAAGATTCGATCAAGTCGGCCTATGTACGAGTCGAAGATTTGGAAAACAATAAAATAACGCCACTTGTCTGCTAATGATTGCCGATGGGATGTGCCAGTCTAGCCTGCAACCCTACGACGTCTAGCCCGACTTAAAGGCCTGTCTGCATTTAATGCAGCCCAAACATACATTTAATGCCTGGCAGGTAATGATTGAGGAAATCTCAAATCGCGCCCAATCTGTCAGAACGATGCCGACCTGTCCCTCGGAGTTACTGTGCGACAGGTCAGGATGAACAGTGAATGAACAGTGCCGAATTAAATGCTACTATAAATAAAAGACCCCTCTCATTTATTTTGGGTTGTTGAATCCATCAACTACTACCTTCTCTCTACTTTCTCCCTCTAGAAACTCTGTAATATATTCCTACAAGTGTAACAAATGTGCCGATCTCATTATCAGAGGCCGACCTCATAACTAAGTAATAAATCCCATTTTCATCGTATATCTTTCCCGTTCTACCTTTTTACTATCATAAAATCTTATTTTAACTCTTGATCGGATCCGTCCATCAATAGGTTGGCGCTAAAGGAAGGGGCGTCATAAGTTATTTGGTGTCAACGTTTCGACTTTTTGGAACACCACTCACAATTTCTTCTTTTTAAATCTCGTTTCCCTCAAAACTCACTGAAAATGACTTCTTCCAGACACGACGAGTCAACTCACCCATCCAGAGGCCAATCCCGTCAGCACGATGGCGAAGAGACCTCACGCCGGCGTTAACAGGGACCTCAAGTCCCAGTGCCGCCAGTTTCGACCATCGCTGCGGTGATGCAGCACACCGACGTCCCTAATTTGGCAAGCCACACGGCTGTGGCCAACACCGTGGCCGGGACGAAAAATCCCGGCAACACGTTGCTCCAAACCGGGAGGAACAGAAAAGGGTCGGCTCGGCCCAAGACTACGGCGCAATCCCCCAATCGAGAGGCTCAAGATTGCCGGGAGAAAACTACCAGCTCGGTGCGCACCGAGCAGACCAACGAAAGTCTCCCATAACCGAGCCTGCAAATTATCCGCCGCCCCTTCCACCAATGTCTGGGTGAAAAAAGTCAAGGAAATCATGACCTTAGGGAGGTTATCGAACGGGGAAAATCCATCGGGCGCGACACCGACGAAATCGCAGCCCTTAAAACGGAGAATTGCCAAGCTGGATGCTCGGCCCGCATCACAAGAGGGATTGCTGTTGGGATCTGTGAGGATCTCGTTATGTAAAAATCACAAATTCAATAGCAAACGTTAACCTATGCACAGCGGATCTAAAGGTTTGACGTAGAAAACTTACGACGTAAAATTTAATGGCGATCTGGCTGATCTTCGGGATGACCGGGATGAACACACGAACAGGTGGATCACATGAACGGAACTTCTAGGCTCGGGTTAATCGCGATCGGGTCATGTGGTGTCGCAGCGGATGTCGCGTCTGAGGAGGTCGCTCGTGTCGCGTTGATCGGCTCGGTTGCGGGTCGCCGGTGGTCTGTCGCGGGGCTGGCCGGTCGCGGCGGCGGCGGTCGTCCGGTGGGTCTGGTTGGCGGTCCTCGGCTTCGGGTCGTGGATCGTCGACTTCTGTAGAAGATTATCTGGTCTCAATTACCTATAGATCTTCTACTGTATTACTCAAACACCTTTCTTCAACTTGTACCAGTGGAGCAACAAGAAGAAGATAAAGCTCGAATGAGAACTGAGAGAGAGAGAGATGAGACGCGACGTGTTTCTCGAAATTATGAGAGATTGGTTCTCTTTTCATGAGCTTAATGATGTATATATAGAGCTACAGTAGAGACTATTAAGAGATTAGGAATAGGGCTCCTCAATTAATTAGACTAACTGTGGGCCAAACCCACTCCTCTAACTAATTAAATAATATTATGGACCACCAATATAAATATTATTGAACTCCCTTATCCTAGCCCGAATTACATTTGAGATTCAAATTATAATTACTCGATTTACCTCCCCACATTTAAGATATAATGTCCATTAATTAATTCGATTACTGAAATCAAGAACTAATTAATTTATTATTATTTCACCGAAGCTAGCGCACGTTCATCGCATTCTTATTATGCTGGAATTTAATCCACCTGCAGGGTTTAGCATAACAATCCTTCATGAACTCACTCCAGGGACATCATCAGAGTAACGCACATGGTGACCGTAAATATCCTAACAGCACATACTATATATAGTAATATTATCCAAAACAGTAGAAATATTAATCCAATGAACTGAACCTCACTCAAGTGAATCAAAGTAATATGTACTACATATATATGCCTGTTTAATATCTTACGGGTTAAGAGAACGCAGTAATTAGCCGAGGCTTAGTTTGTTTACGACGACCAGTATAAAACGAACTTCTCATCTCTCGGATCTTGTTCAATACATAAATGTACTAGTGCAACTAATCAGTTAAAACAAATTGTACAATTGACACTACAACCGTTCAGATGGGGTGTTCATGTCCATCTAGGTTGTGAACGACTATTCTTGTTCGCAAGTAACTGATAGAATGATCTTCGATTCGCCCGATGACGACCCACTCTATCTAAGTGCAAAACAACAGAACATAGAACTTGTTTAATCTAAAATGATTCTCATTCATAAAGGGATAAAGTGTAATAACATGCAAAGCCAAACTTTTAGTATATAACACTAACAATCTCCCATTTATACTTAAAGCTTTCGCTTTTACAGTATAGTCTTATCAATCCGTTATTCTAAAAAACCTATGTCGATCCTATCGCCATGCACTTGATTCTCATTCCTTCCATGTGTTTGACGAAGACGTTCCGCGGAAAACTCTTCATGAAAGGATAAGCTAGGTTGTCCTGTAATTTAATCTTGGCAACATCAACGTCCCCTCTGCCATCAGTATCTCGAATCAGATGGTATTTGCGCTCTATGTGTTTGCTTGTTATGTGGGCTCGAGGTTTCTTTGAGTTCTCTACTGCTCCACTGTTATCACAGTACAAAGTGATAAAACGTGGCAAACTCCGAATCACCTCTAAGTCCACCAAGAAGTTCCTGAGCCAAACTGCCTCTTTCGCTGCCTCTGAGGCTGCTATGTACTCGGCTTCCATGGTGGAGTCTGCCACTTATTTCTGCTTAGCACTCCTCCAGGAAGGTTGACTTACTTTCATCCCTATCTGACTGGTAATCGAAATCTTTGTAACCCGGAGGTAACAAGCTGTCTGCACGGTAAACTAACAAGTACTCCTTAGTCCTTCTCAAGTACTTGAGTATATGTTTCACCGCAGACCAATGTTCCCGTCCCGGATTACTTTGATATCTAGCTACCATGCCAACGAAGTAGCTAATATTCGGCCTAGTGCACAATATTGCATATATAAGACTTGCTACACCCGAAGCATAAGGAACTGTCTTCATGTCCTCTATCTCTTGAGGCGTCTTAGGAGACATCTCCTTGGATAGAGGTATTCCACGTCTGAAAGGTAACATAACCTTCTTGAAATCCTGCATGCTGAATCTGGCTAAGATAGTATCTATGTATGAAGACTGGGATAAGCAATACATTCTCTTCTTATGGTCTCGAATGACCCTAATACCTAGAATGTGTCCTGCTTCACCTAAG